TGGGGCTTGAACTCTGGGCCTGGGCACTGTCCTTCAGCTTTTCAGTTCAAGGCTAGTGCTCTACCACATGAGCCACAGCGCTAGCTCCCAGAGCTAGCTCCCATGCCCAGAGTTCAGGCCCCATGACCGGACTCCCCCCCCCCCCAAAAAAAAAAAAAAGAATTTAGGATCATGTCTACCACAAAGATAGTCCTTGCCTACACTTGGAAGTCATAGGTCTGTATATTTTCAAATTCTTTGCTGTTTTTCTAGGGCCCCCGATGGTTCCTGCATCTTGACCAATAGTGCTGATAACATCCTGCGGATTTACAACCTACCACCAGAGCTGTACCATGAGGGGAAACAGGTGGAATATGCAGAAATGGTAAGAGTAGGAGCTAACCCTGTCCCTTTGTCACATATTGTACATTTAAGTGCTTTGAGTAGATGGAGAGAATATAGTCCATAGGTTTTCTCTTCGCCAACAGTACTTTTCTTCGCTGTGAATTTCTACATGTAATGTTTCCTGCCCTGGATTCTGAACTTAAAAAAAAAAAAGCCTATTCCTTCTATTTAGTCAGAAATGTGCTCTCTGTAGGAAACAAACTGTTGTTTCCTATGACAGTGTTTATAGGTATTCATTGAGTGACTGCCAACATGATGGTTACTATGGTTGGTGCTGGAATGATAAAGAAGTGAACAAGCTGGGCACCTGTGACTTATGCCTATAATCCTAGCTACTCAGGAAGCAGAGATCTGAGGATTTCAGTTCAGATCAGCCTGGGCAGAAAGGTTGCTAGACTCCATCTTCAAAATAAACAGCAAAGGCCAGGTGCTGGTGGCTTATGCCTGTAATCCTGACTACTTAGAAGGCTTGAGCTCTGAGGATTGCCAGATTGGAAACCAGACTTGACAGGAAGGTCCCTGAGTCTCTTTTTTTTCTTAAATCCTTATTAATAACAGAAGGGTTACCATTACATAAGTCAGGCAAAGAATACATTTCCTTTTGGACAAAGAGTACATTTCCTCTTCCCTTCCATCTCCCAGTTTTTCCCTCTCATCCTACCCACAAGCTGTATAGTTGGAGACTCTTATTTCTAATAAAACAACCCCAAACCAGAAGTAGAACAGTGTCTCAAAGTAGTAGAGTTCTAGTCTTGAGCAAAAAAAGTTCATGGACAGCACTTAGGCCCTGAGATCAAGCCCAATGAATGACCCTCCCATAAAAAGGTAAAAAATTAAAAAAAAAACACAAAAAACAACCACCAAACAACAACAAAACCCAGCAAGTTAGTGCCAGTGCCTTACACCTGTAATCCTAGCTACTAAGGAGGTTGAAATCTGAGGATCACAGTTCAAAGCCAGCTCAGGCAGAAAAGTTGAATAATATTCAGAAAAAGCTGTAAGTGGTGCTGTGGCTCAAGTAGTAGAGCCCTAGCATTGAGCCTTAGAAGCTCAGGGACAGTGCGCAGGCACTGACTTCAAGCCCTAGAACCAGAAAACAAAACAGCAACAAGGATGGCTGGAGGCATAGCTCCAGTGGTAGAATCTAGCAAGCATGTTCCAAACAACAGTATTCTCAATAAGTAAATAAAAATTAAATAGAAAATAAACAGTGGCAAGAGACTAACTAGAAGATTCCATTTTAAATATAGTGGCCAGAGAGGGACCCTCTGAAAAGGAGATCTTTGAGCTGATGAGGGGTAATAATTATCATTCACATGAAAAGTCATGGGAATAGCCTTCCAGTAAGAGGCAATGGTATTGCAAAGTTCCATATCTAGGAAAAGAGCTTGCTTTTTTGTTTGTTTGTTTTTATTTCCCCACTCCTGGGGCTTGAACTAAAGACCTGGGTGCTGTCCCTGCACTTCTTTTGCTCAGGGCTAGTGCTGTACCACTTGAGCCACAATACCACTTCTAGCCTTTTCTGTTTATATGGTACTGAGGAATCGAACCCAGGGCTTAATGGATGCTAGGCAAGCAGTCAACCACTGGGTCACATTCCCAGCCCTGGAAAAAGAGCTTTGTATACAGTGATCCCTCACCTATTGTGGGAGTTACGATCCAGAGACTTCCCCCAATAGGTAAAAATCCATGAAGTAGCAGTGTATTGTAGTTTACTTATTGCTACTTCGTGGGTTTTCACTTGTGTGGGTTTGGAGGGTCCTCTTAAATATAAGTCCAGCAATAGGTGAGAGGTCACTATTTACATATTAAAAAAAAATCAAACAGGCAACACAATGAACCCTCAATAAGTGAACTACAATCTAGTGAGGGACGACTGTATTTGCAGAACAGCAAGAATACCAGTGTGGAAGAACATGGGGAAAGATGGACAGGTGACTTGCAGCCACATCCTGTGGAATCCCGTGGCAAAGTATTTTGGAAGAGTTTGAGAAGCCATGGGAAAGAGGAATGCATCGATTGTCGAGCAAGAGTGAAATCAGTGAGGCATATTAGGAAGCATTATTCACAGGCCAGAAGAAGGATAATGTTGAGTTGCATGAGGTAATTTGGGGAGAGACTGAGAAATGTAGATGGATTTGAAGTATATTTTATAAGACTTGAAGATCCATTGCATGTAGAAGTACAGTGACAGAAGTAATCAAGAGTGATGTTCAGATGTTTGCATCTGGATAGATGGGAGAAGAGTATACACAGGAAGAAACATGAACAGGATATTGGCATAGAAGTTAGGAGGTTTTAAAGATGTTAAATGTGAAATGTCAAGCTAAGAGGAAAGATTAGGGTTGGAAATAAACATGAAAAGTGTTAGAGATATAGATGACATCGCATGTTTTGAGAATAGATTGGCTTCAATAATGAGTGTAAATGGGGGAAAAGAAGGTACATTCAGAGCCTTGAGTTCACCAGCATCTGGGATTAGGGTACAAGAGAAGTAACAGGTGGATGCTGACAAGAGATGGAGTAAGGGGGACTTACAGAATGACCCAAAGGGTTAGTGACCTGGAGAAGAGCACTTTCAGAGGAACAATGGGGCAGAAGCCATTAGAATGAGTAGGAGAAAAAGTGTGGAGAATTCACTGCTGTGAAAGTAACTCAAGAAATGTGACCAGAGAAAGTTTGGGGCCAAAGGGTTGGTAGATTTTTTTTTTTTTTTTGGTCGGTTGTGGGGCTTGAACTCTGGGCCTGGGCACTGTTCCTGGCACTCTACCACTTGAGCCACAGCACCACTTCTGGTTTTCTGGTGGTTTATTGGAGAAAAGAGGCTCATGGAGTTTCCTGCCTGGCTGGCTTTGAACCATGATCCTCAGATCTCAGCCTCATGAGTAGCTAGGATTACAGGTGTGAGCCACCAGCACCCGGCTGATAGGTGTTTTTATGATGTCAGAAATACCCCAGCAAAGGGTAGAATTGATCTTGTCTTAGTGTGTCTATTTTGTGTTCCCCTAAAAGAATATGTGAGGTTGGATAATTTATAAAGGATTTATTTCTCAGTTCCAGAGGCTAGAAAGTTCAAGATATAATAATACAAGGCTGTACTTTACTGAGATATGGCCTAATCTGACAGAAGACCTCACATGGCAAGAGTGCACCAACCTGGGTGCCTTTTCTTCCTTTGTGTGCGTGTGCATGTGTGTGTGTGTGTGCGTGTGCATGTGTGCACGTGTGTATATGTGTGAGGTAGTGTTGGGGTTTGAACTCAGAGCCTTGTCTTTTTGCTTAGCATTTTTGCTCAAGGCAGATGCTCTTCTACCTGAGCCACACTTCTACTTCCAGCTTTTGTTTCATTTGCTGGTCTTGGGGCTTGAACTCAGGGCCTCTGTGTTTTCCCTAAGCTTCTCAGGGTCAAGGCTAGTGATCCACCACTTCTTCCCTAAGCTTCTCAGGGTCAAGGCTAGTGATCCACCACTTCTGGCTCTTTCTGAGTAATGTATTTGAGATAAGAGTCTCAAAGACTTTCCTGTCCGTGATGCCTTTGAACTGTGATCCTCATCTCAGCCTATTTAGTAGCTAGGATTACAGGCATGAACCACCAGGGCCAGGCTCAATTCTAGCTTCTTGCTTGTTAGTTGGAGATAAGAGTCTCAAGTCTACCTTGCTTGGCTTCAAACCATGATCATCAGATTTCAGCCTCCTGAGCTAAGATTACAAGTGTGAGCCATTGGCACCCAGTTTTCTTCCTCTACTTATGAAGCATGTAACTCCTCCTTAGAGTCCCATCCTCATGACCTAATCTTACCTTTATTTGCCTTCTAAAAGGCCCATCTTTAAATACCATCAATATATGAATTTGAAATCTAAGTTTTCAACACATGAACTTATTTTTTTTGCCGGTCAGGAGGCTTGAACTCAGGGCCTGGGCTCTGTCCCTGAGCCTCTCTGTGCTCAAGGTTCTACCATTTGAACCACAGTGCCACTTCCGGCCTTTTCTGTTTATGTGGTACTGAGGAATCAAACCCAAGGCTTCATGCATGCTAGACAACATTCAACCATTAAGCCACATTTCTAGCCAAGTTTTTCTTTCTTTTCTTTCTTTCCTTCCTTCCTTTCTTTCTTTCTTTTTTTTTTTTTGTAGGTCATGGGCTTGAACTCTAGGCCTGGGAGTTGCCCCTCAGCTCTTCAGCTCAAAGCTAGCACTCTACCATTTGAGCTACAGCGCCACTTCCAGTTTTTTAGTGGTTTATTGGAGATAGGAGTCTCACAGTCTTTCCTGCCTGGGCTGGCTTTGAATTGAGATCCTCAGATCTCAGCCTCCTAATAGCTAGGATTACAGGTGTGAGCCACCGGCGCCCGGCTCCTTTCTTCCTTTCTTTCCTTCCTTCCTTCCTTCCTTTCTTTCCTTCTTTCCTCCTTCCTTTTTTTTGTCGGTCATGGGGCTTGAACTCTGGGCCTGGGTGCTGTCCCTCAGCTCTTTAGCTCAAAGCTAGCACTCTACCACTTGAGCCATAGTGCTACTTCCAGTTTTCTGGTGGTTTATTAGAGATAAGATTCACGATTTTCCTGCCTGGGTTGGCTTTGAACTGCGATCCTCAGATCTCAGCCTCCTGAGTAGCTAGGGTTACAGGTGTGAGCCACTGGTACCCTGGCTTGCTTGCTTGCTTGCTTTTCTTTTCTTTTTTTTTGCCAGTCCTGGGGCTTGAACTCAGGGCATGGGCACTGTCCCTGAACTTCGTTTGCTCAAAGCTAGCACTCTACCACTTGAGCCACAGTGCCACCTCTGGCCTTTTCTGTGTATGTGGTACTGAAGAATTGAACCCAGGGTTTCATGCATGCTAGACAAGCACTCTACCACTAAGCCACATTCCCAGCACATGAGCTTTTTTTTTTTT